GCACCAGGGAATCTGCTTCTTTTTGAAATTCATTTCATTGTGATGCTTGATAAAGCCTGAGAAATGTCTCCTAACTATTCACTGACTTGCATTTAGCAGTAATTTTCAAAGGCTACTCCATCAATATACGCTATCAAGTTGGTCCCTGCAGTTTGCCAGTGATTTATAATTGCTTTAATTGCTCCTCTCGCAGCCACTGGAGGAGATTAATCAATCCTTAAATTCAAAATCCAGCCGAGGCCAGTCGGAGGAGCAGCCCTCGCCACCTCCCGCAAAAAGGGCGCATATCGCTTTTAATTCGTAGCCGTACCTGCTGTTACCGTGGAAATGGAGACTAACTTGAATGTGTTAATGCACATCTCCCACAGTTCCAAAATCACTAATCCCTGCCTAAACGGCATGAGGTTGAACGGCCGCACTCTTCCAAATGCCTTCCTTAGACCTGTTTCACACAGCATGTCTGAGGAGCGTATGTACAGTAGAACATTGTGCTTTCACGTGGCAAACTGCATTAATAAACAGTGCATGCACAATAGTATATCTGTGAATTAACATTAACTCCTAGATTAATAAAGACAGTGAATGAAATTAAAATGCTGCTCATTGTTAGTTCATGCACCTAATGAATTATCTAATCGTACAAATTGAACCTTATGCGTCAACCACGTTAACATTTTACATTATACAATGCTAATCTGATCTTTATGTAAGTTTATGAATTTTTTTAAAGTGCTAATTCAACCTAAAATGGAAATTCTGTCATCATTTACTCACCTACATGTAATTTCAGACCTGCACGACATGTAGAAATATATATTGAAAAATGTTTTTGAAAGTCAGTGAGGTGTTGGACCCTGTTGACATTCATTGTATGAACAAAAATAGTGTCATCAGTGTCACATGATCCTTCAGAAATCATTCCAATATACTGATTTGCTGCTTAATAAAACATAAATTTAACAATAAAAGTTTTAATTTAATAATATTAATTTAAACTGGCTGTAGCCTCTTATTATGGGGTCCGAAAGGAATATGCACAACAGAATGTGTGAAACAGGCCTTGTCATGTCAGTTAACTTGTTCCATCGCTAGTGTGTACAGAGTATTTTTTTCGTGAGGATGGTATGGGGCAGTTTGTAAAAGATGACAGAGCTGTATTTACTCTTTCAGAGAGTAAATAGTGTTGCTGTTAATAATATTGTTTCCGTTAAGATCTTTTTACCTCCTGTGACGCTAACACCTGGAGCAGTAGCATCATTTGCGCTAATGATAGCTAATCTGTTCAATTAGCAAAGTACACATTTGTAATCTGGGCCTCTCTGCTAGCAGGCAAGTTTACATACTCTTCATCTTCCTCTTGCAGACTAATGCCCTATGACATTCACAGTACTGTGGCGGCACACAATCCCCTGTGGTAACGTGCTAACAGAGGAGCTGTTTCAGACGATTGTTTGCAGACACAAGAAATGGCTCCTTCATTCCACGTCCCTCTTCCTCGCTCTCTCACTCACTCTCGTTCTGCCTCCTTCCTACTTTACCACAGGAGACCGCTTTCACCTTTTTAGCCCATTAATTAGCATGAACAGTTAATAGTGCCTCCTACAATGGCTGCCTCAGCAGTTTTGCCTCAGAGTTGGTGTCACCAAATCAATATCAAGTCGGGCATAAAGCACTAGAGAAACTCAATCGTGAGAAGCGGGTCGGTGCGGTCATGGTTGCTTCTCTTAGTGATTTTTCTGTTAGAAGCAAGCCATCCCTACACTAGTATGCATAACACGGTGTGATTTTGTTTTCTGTACTTGATGTTTGTCGCATTAATTGTCAGATAGTACGATATGACGCCAGTGAGATCAGATTATGTTCACAACTGACAGCACTGACAAGGCATTTTACATCATCAAGAGAGTGCAACAGTTGTTTCATAAGTAAAAACTACATTACCCATGATTCTGCAAAGAAACTCCACCAATCAGAGAGTAAGGACCAACAAGTGGAGCCAAAAGAACCGCATACTACTCTTTTAGCATACTATTTATTGCATACTATATTGTAGGGGAATATTTGATTTTGAACACAGCAATAGAGTAACTTTCCTTACGCTCTCGAATTACTTTAATATTTTTATGTATATTTTGCAATAGACTCAACATATATTGGTTCTGTATGCATAATCATCTTTAAATCAATAGTTTTGTATTTATCCATTGTTTTTCATCTGATTGTCATTCACAATGCTGCATGGGTTTGTAGTTCTTTCACTCATTAAACCATTAAGTTCACAATCTTTACAAATATTTTTTGTTTCAAATCAAAATTTATAATGTTGTGATTTCACCTCATAGCTGGTTGGTTTGGTTCATGGCTTATAAATCTCAAAAGAAGACTCAATGGGAAAAATACTTTCTTCCAGCTTCCTCTCAAGGCTGCTGAAAAAGTGGACAGGCACTGTTGCACTCTATTGTATCAGCCATAGAGCCAAATTAGCATTTGTTGGCAGTCTAATGTGGCTGGCCGAAAGAGGGATTTTGTGGACAAACCAATGTAATTTCTTTCTTTATCATTTATTTAAGCTTCAGAACAATATTATAAAGAGGAAAAACAACCAACGCAGAACAATAAACTAAATTAACTGACAAATACATAAAAGAAACAATAAATTATAGAAGTATTATTTTATAAACAAATGCATTAAAAATAATAAATTTTAAAAAGGCCATATCTTTTTAGTATGATCGTAATGCCCCGTAGGGAACCTAATGAACAATGTATTTATCTTGCATATCATGTGGACTTGCTAACTCTAGCAACTGCACTACTTAGTTCTTCATTAGACACTGGAGGACTGTTGCTCAAAGTGAGGCTGAGATTCATCGCCAAGGCAATTAACCCACTGTCGATCATGTCACACCAAGCAATCAAAGATAATTCCCAAAGTTTGTCTCTGAATGCAAAAATGTGGTAAAAACCATGTACAGTAGTGCATACTGAGCTTACGTGATAACACTCTCAGAATTCCCCTCACATCTCCAGGAGAAAGAAGAATATGTCTAGGATCTTGAAGAAGAGAAATTGGAAAAAATGAAATCAAAAAGCTTGCAACTAGTTGCAGGATTGTCTTGTTTGCTTTCGCTGTTCTTGTTGTTTTCATTTAATAATGCAGCATGAGTGCTTAGCATTTAGATGACATGTTTGTGGAGAGGTGCAACAGATCAGATGCACTGCGTGAAGGGTTTCACAGATAGCGTCAGACTTCCAGGGCGGAGAGGCATACGGGGAGGCGGGCACTGGAAAAAGCGGCTCTACCCATAGAATCACGGGCACTGTCAACACCATTGTGAATGACGCGGTGACGAGCCAATTAGCACGGGTGCCAACGAGTGGCTTAGAGAGCCTTCTGCATGCCAATGAGTGTAGCGGATCCAAGAACCATGAGCTTGCCAATGAAGGATTTAAAGTCTTGAGTGGTTAAGAGGTTTTTATAAACATTGAACGAGCAAGTGGAAAGTTGGAAGTTTCTTCAACTTGATCTGAGAGAAAAGACTTCAAAAAAGCCCCGTGAAGTGCAGAATACAGGGCTGGCTAATTTGAGGCGCTTTGAGAGTATAAACCAGACAGCAGAGGACCTGAATTAGCAACGTTAGCAGAGTTGATAGTGTTGCAGACAATCAAGCAATGCTGGGCAGTGACTAACTAAAACAGACACACTACTAACTTAACCATATTTTTCAGTAGGAACTAGTATTTATTTACTTGTTTGTTTGTTTGTGCAGGTCTTTTGTGGGTCATACTCAAATGTTGATATTCTGACTTACAAAACTTCAGAAAGCTAAATTTATTAATTATGTTGATTCGTTTATTAACATTGAAGACATTGCTGCTAATCATAAAGGACAACTTGGTTTTTATTTTTTATTTTATTTTATGATAGGTTTTTAATCAAATTGTCTTTTTATTTATTTTATACTTTGTTTTTCCTCATATTCATTTTAATGTATAATCTTATTTCATTTGAATTGAATTTATACTACTTACTTTTTTAATATTTATATTTCTTTAATAATCTATTTTTTTAATCTAATTTGTTCTCTTTTTTCCAATTTCTACTACTTACTTTTTTAATATTTATATTTCTTTAATAATCTATTTTTTTAATAATTTTTCTTCAAAGCACTTCAAATTACCACTGTATGAAATGTGCTATAGAAATAAACCTGTCTTTCCTATAATCTCAAAACACATACTATTGATCATTTACAATAGCATAATAAATTAATAAAAAATAATAATTAAAAATGAACAAATTATATGTTTAAATTAACCATGTACCTTTTTCAAAATGGTGAGAAAATCACAAATGTCACATTTGAACAGTCTCTTTACTCTGAATTTTGACCTTGGGAATATTTTTCCAGAGTCTCTTAGTTTTAGTTTAGTGTTTTCCATAAATGATTGTTAATTAATTGTATTAAACTTAAATTATGAATTACTTATTTTGTTTTATTTTTGCACATATGTTAGACTGCACTGTTGCATAACCAAAGAAACAACATTTTTGAGAAAAAAAAACTAATAGTAAAAGTGGTGTACTAGATGAAGGAGAAAAGCTGTTTCGGGTTATTGACAAATTCAAGCAATTAAAAAAAAGTGCAAAATATAATTATAGTTTATGGTTGAATCTATTTCAAATTATTTCATAAACGGTTATGTTATAGAATGATGCTTTTTATATGGAGCTTCTCCGCCATTTGAAATCTATATATATATATATATATAGTAATTATATATATAATAATGTTCTTGTGGCTCAGTGGTAAAGCATTGCGTTAGCAGCGCAAAAGGTCATGGGTTCAATTCCCAGGGAACACACATACTGGTAAAAAATGTGTAGCCTGAATGCACTGTAAGTTGCTTTGGATAAAAGTGTCTGCTAAGTGCATAAATGATAATAACACAGATCTAATGAAATAACTGACCACTATTTCATTTCTTTTTTTTTAAAGCCTCTGCCCAAGGAGCCATCCTAAAGGACTTCAGATTGCTGTGAGGAGGTGAGTGGTGCTTCAGTAAGATTATATCTTATCTTGCTCTGTTTGCTTTTTCTTAGTAAGCCATTATTGTCTCTAAATCTAATATGCAAAGACGGTGATCGTCCAGCAAGCAGGTCCGAAGCAGAACGGTGACAAAACACGGCGAGCGACAAGAGTGCTATCACAGCGTTGGTTTTAAAGCAACATGACAGATACAGAGCACAGGTACAGAGGTGGAATATGGCAGAGCAGAAATCGAGTGGAAATCTTATCATTTATCCAACCAATTGTGCCCCGCCGGCGCTGATGAAGTTGTGTTAAGAGTGACGCACCTGATCAGCGGAAGGGCTAAAGCTGGATTAGAGGGCAGCTGGGGGCGCTGGTTGTGCCGCGGATCAAGAGATGAAGGGAGAAGATGATGTTGCGGGACGTGAGCTGAAACCCAAAATCCCTCGTGTTCTGCCTCAGTAGTGATTGCAGATGGCGTGATGTTAGCAAAGAAAGAGATACGGTTCTATTTAACAAGATATATTTACATGCCAGCTGTTGTTTGTCTTTCCGTCATGCTTCGAGCGATTCCCAGTGAGTGTACATGGCTTGGGAAAAACTGTAGTTTTGCAGTGCAGGAGAATAATATGAGGACAGAAATTTGCATAAATGTATGTTAATCCTTGAGGCAATTAGCACCTGTCAGTTTCTGAGTGAAAGCTTTCCGTTCTTTTCATTACATGGCAAAATAATATGCTGAATATTGTTCTGAAAGCACCACCAACACCATTTTTTCTGTATGAAAAAAATGTGTCCTGTGGGAAACCATGCCTTTTCATGCCAGTGTTATTCCAACAGCCAGAGCTATATTTGAGTTGCACATGCCTTTATTTCTTTGAAAAGCACTTTATTAAAAAGCTAGTCATAAGGGAAGACTTTTTATTGAAAAGCTCCATTATAAAAGGGTCCAAAGTGAGCACTTGAGGAACATCTCAGAGGAAAGCTGTTGTGTAAGACATCTGGGGAGCATTGTAGGCTTTGTGGCTCCACGGTGGTTCTAGGAAATGAAATTTTTTATGGCAGTTCTGGTTCATGGCAGTGTTATCAACATTTCCAGCATGTTACGTCCTACACCCTCAAGAGAACGCTGTGTGTATCGCAGGCAATCACGGAGAGATGGAGAAACAGCAAAGAGGGAGAAACATAATTATTTACTTAGAGAGGAACTGGAATGTACGAAATTGTGTTCTGATTACATTGACATGCATTAAAAATTGATTCAAGTAATTTGGGGAATGTCTGATTTACAAATCCCAATTGCGAGTTCTTTATGAATTATAAATTCTGGAGATTGTGCATTAAACAGCATTGAACAGATATGAATTTTTTTCTCTAACTCAAGTTCCCAAATTTACTGCTGTAAAAAAATGAGATAATTGCATAATTGTTTTCAATTCACCTATTAAGATGGCTGATGTCACTGTATTTTGATATCTGACTAAATACTTAGTTTAGTGGAGATAAATACACAGTTGGGACACTAAACACTGAAAGCCTGACTTCATCTTGACAACCTGTTCTGTCCTATATAATGATGTTTAGGTGACTTAAAAATAATACTTTAATTGTTCAAGGAACTCAGAGCTCTCTGCAGCGTGCACAGCCCACATGTTTAAAATGTTTTGGTGATTTTTAACAATTATGTTTTCTATAGCTAGTGAAATCATACCAAATGTATACAATTTTAGAGTGATTTTTTTTTATGTTCTTCCCTAAACTGGAACATTTCTTTAGCTGAAACATGGCACTTGCAACACCAGGGTCATGGGTTTGATTCCCAGACAATGCATGAATTGATAAAATGTATACAGTACACTGAATGCATTAATTCAATGTAAGTTACATTGGATAAAAGCATCTACTAAGTGCATAAAAGTGTCATAAGTATTGCTGATGTGTACAGTAAAAAATGCTTGTAAACTATAGTGATCAGACAAATTGATCTATGTCTAAGAGTCTTTTTATAGAATTTGTCCATTAAGTCAAACTTATCTAAAAGAAAAAAAAGATCCTTCATACCATGCACTTACAGTTAGAGTATATTTTCATTATGTATTATATAAGTTGGCAAGGGTGGGATTGTTCACCTAACGTTTCTGAACTTTTAGAACTTTTTTCAGTTGTAAATGCCTGCTCATTAGTACATTTTTCAGTGTTTTACCCACCATAAAAGAGTAGGTAACTATGGTAACCAGGTTTTTCTTTTCCTCTAAACCATATCCTTTTATGCCTCTGTACTTACGTTTAACATCATTAAATGATTGTGCATTTCTAGAATCTTTCTATGGAGAAATTGTCACAGATAGTTGCATAATGCATAGAGGCTGTATGCTTATCGAGTGCCAGACATTTTCTGATTATTAGTGTCTTTAAACCTTAAACAGGCAAATGGCCACACATTCTGACAGGAAAGAGATCGAAGAAGACACTTTTATTTAAACAGAACTTTTATGTAAACAGAGAAAAGAAGTAGACTTTTGTTGTTTTAAGTCTCAAATACTATGTGTGTTTGTTTTTTTTTCAAAATCTAATTGCGACTCGAGTCCAAGTCTCAGATTCAAGTTCACTTTAAAAATAAGTCTTGGCAGCCGTTACTTTAACTCATCAAATTAATTGAACAATTTTAACTTAATTAATTAAGTTATATGACATTCAACTTGATTTTTCAAAGTCGGTTTAGTATAATTTAATTTGAAATGTACAGCCATGCTTAAACATTTTAAACTGAACTTTTTAATTGAAATAGGTGGATTTTTTTTTTACAGTGTTTGTAATTTAATTAAAATATTTTTTTTTTTTTTTTTTTTTTTTGGT